AAAAAAAAAAANAAAAAAAAAAAAAAAGTAGAATCCCTACCTACCGACCCTAATTTTTTCTGGACTGTAATAGGAAACACAACATTTATTTTGTTAGGCCTAATTAAGATGTTCAACTGTTGAAATATCGCACACTTAATTTACCTGTGAAACATGTCTTGGAAAAATAAAGATGTTGAACAAAAAGCTAAACATCTGTTGCATGCCACCAATACATCAGATGTCATTGTAAAGAACGATGGCACATTCGTCGTGATTCGTCCTTTACTGTTCTCATTTTTTAGCATCTCTCAAACACCTTGTACAGGTCTGGGAGGTTAGCAATCTGCAGAACACTTCTGTCTTCCGCAAATGTCTTAGGAGGTAGCAGGGACGAGCGGAAGGCAGGAAACAATGCATGCTCTACTGTCCACTTCCACGACTTGGAGTCCTCGCTAGTTGAGGCCACACTAGAACGGATGGCATAGAAGAGCCCACACTCTCTTGCAAAGGTCTGGAAGCATTCTTTCTCACTGTCCCAGTCAACTTCTGTGGCTAGTCTCAGCACAAACATTGGCAGGCCTTCTAATGGTGGGATGTAGTTGTCCAACAGTAAAGGCAGTGTGCAGAGGTTGCCTTCTGAGTCGATCTGTAAAGAGAAGTAGTCCAGAAGCATTGGTGCTTTCTGTTGCAGGAAGGTCACAATGTACTGCGACAGCTCTTCCTTAGACCCATCCTCTTCAGTCCAACCACTCTCTTCACTATCTAAAGCCATCATGGCCAGTTCACGGATGGGCGCTGGCTCGGACAGACGAAGCATGCCAAAGTTTCCAAAGTCAAACAGAGCCAACTGGTAGAACAGCTCCTGGCTCAAGCGGCGTGTACTGATGAGGTAGAGCTTGGTTTGGTGCTGGACGAGAGCTCGTGTTGGATCCACACAGCCCACAAACTTCAGCTGGGTCACCATCTCCCGCAGGCCTGTGTGCATGTTATCTTTGATTTCCTGGTGAAGAGCCAGGACACTGGTCAGAGTGATGGGACGTCGTTGGGGAGACTTACTTCCTTCACCTCTACTCTCTTCTTCTGTGAAGGACAAAATACAGGCAAAGTCAGAAGAAGCCAGGTAATTCATGTTCAAGAACAAGTTTTCAACAACATTTGACTACAAGGAAAAAATGAATAGAAACAAAACAAGGATGCAACACATACCAACAATTACTTCCTCAGATTCCTCCTCTGTCCCACTCTCCCGTGGTCGCTTCCTCTGATTGTGGTGCTCATCTGTTGTCATGGAAACATCAGCAGCATCTGTCATCTTAGATGTGGTTGGTACGGCAGGATCAACTTCTGCAACTGATGTTTTTGTAGAAACACTGGGAGAAGAGATGACAGGATCTTCTGGTTTCTTCAGGAATGCTTCAAGTTTCTGGTCCCTGTGATCTGTTCTCACTAACTGATGGGCGTAAGTCTTGGAAGATGAGCTGGAAGAAGGTTCACTGGTAGTGATGTCTGATACAGGTACAACAGCTCCAGGGAGTAAAGCCTGTGGAAAGGAGAAAACCTGTCATCACAAAATATAAAAGTCACACTAACAGCTATTAAGGTGTCAAATAATCACAAGTTAAGGTATAAAACATCACATATTCTAACCTGGGTAAAGAATGTGCGAGATGAGTTACATCCCAACAAACTGGTCTCCACTTGCTTCTGTATTGCCTCGATAATGACATCCTCATGAAGGAAGTGCACCTCGTGTTTGGTGGGGTGGACATTCACATCTACGTGGGATGGCATGATCTCCACACTCATGTAGACAAACGGATGCATGTTCTTGGGAAGGTAGGCAGAGTACACGGCCTCCAGGGCTTTCCGCAGGGCTGTGGAGTCCACCAGGCGATGGTTGATGAAGAGGAGGAAGATGAACTTCTTGGTGGAATAGTTTGCGTTGGAGATGTGACCCTTCATCGAGAAAGCCAGCCTGCTGTCCTCGCACTTGACCTCGATCAGCTCGCGGGCGACTGTGGGGCCGTACACCGTGCGGATGTTATCTATGGTGGAGGCGGTCGGGGAGGTGCGCAGCTCTGCCGTGCTCTCTCCCTGCTTCTTCAGCGTGAACCCTACACCGGCGTTGTGGATGGCGTACCGGCTCATGACCTCGGCGACCTTTGCGTGCTCCTCTCCTGGGCTCCTCATGGCCTTGCGTCGCGACGGGACATTGTAAAACAAGTCCTCTACAGTGATCTGTGTGCCTTGATTCCCAGCACAAGGTTTTGGCCCTGCCAGTGGTTTACCATCTGAGTAACTAGCCTTGTACGCACATTTAGACTCAGCTGTTCTAGTTACTATGGTAACGTGGGCCACGTGGCTGATACTGGCCAGGGCTTCTCCTCGGAAACCATAGGTAGCGATGGATGTCAAGTCTTCGAACGTCTGCAGCTTGCTGGTGGTGAAGCGCTCGCACACGATGTCCATGTCTTCCCGCCTGATTCCTGTTCCGTTGTCCTGGATCTGTAACAGCTTCAGACCACCTGACTTCACAACAACCTGTAGGAGCATTCAACAGATGAGTGTCTTAGCTTATCGATGGAGAACATACAAATAGAGGCCAAGATATGGTCTCATAATATGTGCGATCAGCATGACGTCACAGCAAGCAAGTTGAAAAATTAAGCAAGAAAGTGGGAGGTAGTTGGGATTTGGCAATAATTCACATATGCCTGCCAATAACTTGCATATGTACCAATAAAGGATGTAAACAAAAACAGTGATTGCTTGTATGTTACCTGAATGGAAGACGATTTTGCATCCAAACAGTTCTCGAGCATCTCCTTCACAGCATTGGCTGGTCTGACGATAACTTCTCCTGCTGCAATACGGTTCACAACCGTCTCCTCCAGTCGGCGAATTGTTCCAGCCATGGAAGAGGTATCTGATTTTCTGAGTAACAAATTCAAATAAAATTTAACATTACTGTTTAATGAAGATTAACGTTAAATCTTCTTACGTTGTTGAAACGGGGTGTACTGCTGATCCTTTCATTTTTGTTTCTACCGTATGACCCTCCTCGACCTTTTCAATAATGTCTAGGAAATTTAATATAAAATAAATATTATGTTGCCCCCCTCCCCCAAAGCAGAACTTTTTGCACATGTTCGATTCTTGTACGAGAAATTCTCTTGTCTTGAGAATCAAGAAATAGAATATGTGATAATCTACCTCTTGTCTTTATCAGTCATCACATCTGTCGCTTACTGCAGTAGTCATGACACTCCGTCTTTCTTTCATATGCGCCGTAAAGAAGAAAGGTTGGAAAGTTTGGCGGGAACTTGAGGTCAGGGATGATGATGAGGTCAAACAGGCTGCCCACCCCTCTTCTGCTAATGGACTCGTTCAGTTTACAAGCTCCATTGACGTCATGAGGTACACAGGTAGCCGTGACGTTTACACGCTCGGGGTGATTTTTCCGTCTGCGGGCGGGAAGCTCCGTTGACTAATCGCGCTTTCTGGCCTCCAGATCATGTCGATCTGCTCTTTTCGTGGAATCTAAGCCGAGGACAGTAGGAGAGGAACCCGCCCTATCCACAGAGCGCCGCGGTTTTGCGTCGAGGAGTCGGGAGCGCTCGTGGTCGGCGCCCAAGTTGGGGAGTTGTTCGCCATGGGGGATGCCGAGCGGAACATGGGGCCTGGGATGTTACTCGTGTCTGCTAATGTGGGCTCCATATTTGAAGATGTGAGCATCTGATGTTACTGTCTATCTATTTTGCTGTTATACCTTTAATCCAGTTTCCCCTGGATCGAATAAAAAGGTGCAAAGTGACCACGGTCGCCCGCAGTTGCTGTTTTGGCCCGGCCATTTGTTTTGTTGACGTTTTTACCCGCCATGTGAACAAGCGAACTGTTTATGTCCGGTCAGGTTTACAATTTCTCCCAACGGTCTATATTTTAGTCACATCTATGATACCCCGTATTTTCTCTTGCAGCCGGATAACATGCTACCGGTGTGGTTGACGGAATTCCTTTCGGTGAGTACCGCTCTTTTCTCGTGCGGAAATTACACCCGTGTTTAAACAACCCCATCCAAAGCCACACACCTAGAGTTTGTGTACTGTGTGTACATATGGAACAAAAGTTTTGTTTTGTTTCATAGCTCCTAAGGGGGAGTTCTATCCCTTCTATGATAGAGCCATTCCCCGTAGATGCGTAGCCAATTTCATTTTGATAGTACACACCAGTTCCCCACCCCATCTAAAATATCCCGTAGCCGCAGGTAGGATAAAACCCCAGTGGGCGTTCCTGGGACGCACAAATAAGTAGGCGGAGCCTTGTTGCTAGGCACCTGGTCAATTTCACAAGTAGTTGTGCTGATGTCTCCTGTCACTTGGTAAACATATTAAGGTGAAAATATTCAGTGGTGGATTGTAGGATGTGAGATAGATCTACTTAACCTTTTTTTGTACACTCAGTAAAATTGTGAATTGTCACATATGTCTCAATTTCAGTCATTTTATGCAATGTCTGCATAATTTAGATTACAAATATTTGAGGGATGTCACAGTGGTCATTCTGTTGGTTTTTTTTGTGAAGTTCACATGTGTTTACGGGAAAGAGAGAGATGTCCTAGACTGTGACAGAGTCACAAAGTTTACAACTAGTTCTAGACTTAATGATTAGGTTGTAATTGTGTTCTTTAAACTTAAATTGTATTGTTCAAGACTTAAGAGAACTTGTATCTGAGGACATGTTTTATTTTAACTTCTGAATTTGAGAACTGGATGCCTGTATCTGTGAATCATTTAGTCATGGATACCCGTAGTTTGATTAGGAGGAAGGTCAGCATACAGTATGTCTTAAATGATTAATTGGCATGCTTTTCATCTAGAAACAAAAAAGATACTGTTATGTCGTTTCAAAGACTTCCGCCTATTTGGGTTTTATGATAACAAATGTCAATAAAGTTTATTGATATTGGGAGTGTATGTATAATGAAAAGGCTACAGTAGAAGACAGGAAACAAAACATGGCTTCAGCATCATATTTCATTCAAGAATTTCATTGTTATAATATTGAGTTTCATGAGTGAGTCTTTGTTGTATTATTCAACAGGTGATATGTTAGCAGGTGTAGCAGTCTGTAATATAGAAAGTACAGGTATAAATATATTGTATAAGTTCCTGAAGAAACTACAAATATGCAGAGTTGGTATCATGTGAAAAGGTGACAAGTTTATCCAAGTCAGGTTTTATGAATTATAACTATCTTTCTCAATTTCTTCTTTCAAAGCTTGTAATTTAAGTAAATCTACTCTCCTGCTATAATAAACATTTCTTTACCTACCTGATTGAATGAAAACATTGTGGAAGGAGTGCTATGTACTAATGGCTTTATTGATTCAGATACTAGTAATACTGAAAATGGAAATCTCGCTTTCAAGTGTTGGAACATTTGGCAACTTTACTTCAGGAATGTTAGATGAGATCAATGAGCAAAGACTTTTAACAGCTTGGTGTTGACTTGCTATTTTACTGACGGTACAATATTATAAATTATTATGTTCCAATCCAAATAGATTTTGTTGAATGGCAGGTGGCGAAATCAGGCTGGGTTTGCTATTTGCATGTGTACTCGTGTGTTCAACTTCAATGGCGAAGGGCTCTCTAAGCTCCCTTTGATTTTTTGAGTATTCATAATTTTCCATAGCTTCCTTTCACTTACTAAGAGTGTATAGGTTAAACCCCCATTATGCAGTTTTGGGCCGTCTAATTGTCCATTTTCTACTTGAAGCTTTTATAGCTACAGGTAATTAATCAAGCAGTGGATATGCCTCAACTTCTCAGAAATGCTGACTGCAAAGGCACTAAGTCTGACAACACATTTCTGTCTTAGTGTCTACCTTGCCCCCAACAGCCAGGTCAGGTTGATAGGATAGGTACTAGGTAGTACATAGATATCTCTCCTGTGGACATTATTTTATTGTACCAGGGCTACAAACAAGCACACCTTTTGTGGGTAGTAGATGCTTATCAGTATCATCTTCTGAAAGGTTGTCTGCTTTTCTTCGATGTCAGAAAACTGTAAGTTACCATCAGCTTTTTTTTCTGCTTCTTTTTTATATATTTTTTTTCTTTTGGACGTAGCAAGCTTCTACAATAGGATTAGAGCTGTTTTGATCCCACCTGGCGAATGGTAATGCTTGTTTTATGTCAACTGTGAGACAATGTACCACCCTCTAGGCAATGAGTGCATTGACCCAACAAGTGTGTGATGTATGCAGATCATTAACAGATCTTGGTATGATGCAGATATCTCATTAACGGAATACGGCTGTATATGATGAAACCATGTATTTGCAGTGCCGAAGGTTACAGAATTCAAGGAACTTCAAAAGTCCTGTGAATTTTGTGTGGGAGAATAGGTTATGGCTTTGAAGTAAATAAATTTGTCACACTAATCTTAGAAGCCGCCCCCCTTTTCTCCGGCAGGAAAGCTAATCAACGAGTGTTGCTTTGTTGTGGTTGTGTTAACCGACAGTCATGCAAACATTAGCTTTTATGTTCGTGAGTCTGAATATTTTATAGTACTGAAACATTTATGACTATTGCAAATTATGACCATGTGAACAGGAAAGCCTTGGTACCTCATGCATTGTTGAGTTACTTCAATTTGAGTGGAAGAGAAATAGTAACTGGAACATTGCCCAACTGTTTGAGGTGGGGGTGTATGTTCAAGATACACCAGTGTTAAGTGCTTTTGCATTGTGTTCTTTAAAGATAGAGTGGAAGTATGAACACCTGTGTACCTGTTTGAAATTATGGTGTGTTGTCCACGTATTGTAAGATACAGATTTTCTGTACATACTGAAAAGTGGGTTAAGCTGTATACTTAGGATTTATATGGTACCTTATCAAGATGTCAGCAAGGTAATGTATCATTGTTGCAGTGATTTGAGAAAAATGGTCTTACTTTCTGTGTAATATCTTGTATACTATACCACTATGTTTCGACAACTCAATCTATGTTCTAACAACCCCAAACCTTATGATAGAAGACGTTGGAGGCGTTGTAACATAGGGATGTCAGAACTCTAATATCATTGACTGTGTTTCGTGTAACCAACATGTATAGTACCTGTATTTCTACCCTGTCAGAAGGTACAATTGTGTCGTAGTAATTATGTGTGCTGTAAAGGAAGTGAGGTGAGACCACCTGTTGACCTCTGTTATATTCTGTCTACAAATGACACCTTCTTAAAGGCTTTTGTCCTCAGTTTTGTTTATTCAAAGGACAGGGCTCCAGGGGGGATGGTTGAAACATTATAATAGAACATACAAGCCTTTCTAAGAAAAGCAGTGCAGGTTTGTAAGGAACATAACCTGTTTGACAACATTACTGTCCCTCAGCTCAGGTAATGCAATATCCTATATAGATGTGTTATATTTTCACAAAATATATATATATATTATGGTACAACTACATGTAGATCAAGATACACATACACATACACATACACATACACAGGTAGCAAGCTTTGCAATGATTAGTAGGTTTGATACAAAATCTAGAATGTCAATCTCTTTCAAATGTTGTTGATCACACCCTTGGGGATGAAAAAAGAGATGGATCATTTCACTATACATGTATTGTGACCTAATTACATAGATTTTAGTATACTTGCTTGGTGCTGGAATTGCTAAAATGTTGTTTTTATCAAATGTCTCAAGGGTGCAGGTTATAATATAGTATCTTCCCCTAAACCTCCTTGTTGTGACAGTATTTGTGTGAGGGTATGACTATGAATCAAGTTGGATTTATCCCTTGACAGGAAGCAGCGATATGAAGGTGTGGACATAAAGATAGGGATACGTATGTAACTGATACTGGTGATCGAAGATGACAGCATTCCACTGTTCTTTAAGATATTAGCTTCATCAATAATGATCATTTTATTTTCATCCTGTGTTTCTCCTTTGTCACGTAAACTTGTGTCTAAAAAATGTAAAATCCTTTACATTTCCTATCAAGTGAATGATATTACTGTGTGTCATCAGATAACATTTTGGTGTTTAGATTAGAGTTTTTGGTTGTTAACATGTTACATCTGTTCACTGCTGTGCTATGTATCTCCCTGATACCACAAAAATGTGAACTGTTGATCTGATGCATGTACCTGCTCCCCAGAGGTGCATATTCATATGACATGTGCAAGCTGCAATTACATGCTCAACAATATTACTCAGAGATTACACTCAAATTACTTAATAGCTTCGTACATCTCATGTCAAAGTAATGTTTGTACTTTTTCTACAAAAAATATTAGTATTTTAATGTTAATATTTTAACATTGATATTTAATATTGATATTTTAATATTTCAACATGAATATTTTAATTCTAATATGTTAGATATTTTAATTCTAATATTAATATTTAATCTTAGTCCTGGAAAGGTGATCCATATCACCTGTTTTGTCTCCCCTACCATTGTATATGTACTTAATGGTAAATTCAAATAAACAAACATTAGAGGAGACTGGTGATGTTATGTAAACCCTGCTAGATCCAGAATACATTTTTACAGTTGATCATATTTGAAATGAAAAGTGTTCATACCTAAGTGTTCACAAGGTTTCAGGAATGCTTTTATGGATGTTAGAAATTGAAGACTGGAAAATTGAGTTCCATATCCTAGATTACATTATGCATAGCAGCATACACTATCAATTTAGACAGAACAGATGATGCAAATTATTATACTTGCATTTCACATTTGTGCTTCCATCAGCATATACCTAATGACAGTAATGTCGACTACATACATTCACACACCATGTTCTAAGTCAGCCATAGATGTCTCTAGGAATAAAATGGCTGAGTATGACAGCAGCATTCATAGTTCTGTACAATGCATATAACAGTATGTGGAATAGTCCTCTTGCAAGAATGATTGTTATGTTCCATATACATGTATCAATTGTGTTGTGTTTTGTTATTATTGAGAGGCACAGTACATGTACGTAAGGTTGGACAGTGCAAGAAATTCTGAGCGAAAACAGGTTGAACAAGCCAGTATAAAGGACTAGAGAGACAAAACGTATATGTAGAATACTATACATACCAGACGTCCATACAGATACCGGTAAGTCACGTATAGAATTTGTGACTTTTGTTTATTTGTGCATTCTGATAAATCTTCTCTTCTTCCATAACTTTATGCACTTAAAGTTAAACAAACACATCTCAAGTGGTTTGTGTTTCTAACCCTCGTAATGAAGCCAACAGAGTGCTAAGTAATTGTCATGTTTTCCCCAGTATGAATACAAAAGCGGACAACGGTAAACATGCCAGTGGAAACCTGATATACCTGTTACGTTGATGTACAGGTGTGGTAGCATTGCTGCCTTTGTTGTACCTGAATAATGTATGTCAGGAGTGTTGTACTCAGTCAAACAACATAGGTAAGGATCTATCAAAGGTGTGAACTTGTACGTGGTGAAAGTCCCTTTTCTTCAAAAGTCTTGCGAATACATGTTTTCATTCAATAAAAATTTGTAAAAAGATTACAGTACAGTATAGCTTATGATGCACTTTTGGGCCTGAGTATACAGACTATACAGTATGTGTTTCAACATAATAACAATGTTGAAAGTTTTTTTGCTCCATGAAGAAGTTCTGCCTTAGATATTCATGTATTGATTGACTGGAAGAGTTGCCGGATCTGGTATATAAATACACCGACTGCCAGGTTAGAAATGTCACTGGTATAAACTTGGTGACTTATAGTAGAAGTTATAGTAGGGAGATTGGCAGAAAAATCCCTCATTGAATGCCAGTGTTTTGTCATGAAAAAAGGGGTGTGCACTTACAATCTAAATTCATCTGGATGCTTCCTGAAGCAGTATCTTATACTGTCATACTCATAGGACTGTGTACCAAAAAAGACAAAAAGAGCAGCATAACTTATTAGTGCATATATATATGCAAACTAACAACAAGATTTGTCTTTGCATCATGCTTATCGGGTATGTCTATCATCATTCAGTGTGTCCATGTAAGAAGCCAAGTCAGCATTTATAAGCATTTTCTGCCTGTGAGAAAATACTTATGCAGATTTCAGTTCCTCGTTATATGATGTCTGACGACATTCTGTTGGTACTCCAAGGGCAAACCTTGGCAGAAAAAATCTAAATATGGCCAACGTCAGCAGATTTGAAACATACTAGGCTTGACAGCTAATTACAGAAATCACAACAGCTAGATCTGAAATTGTTCACTACTACTAGTACTTGAAGATAAGAACAGGAAAAAGTGCTTTGAAAGGTTCCTTTTATATCTTCCAATCATCCGTAAAGTAATGGCAATGGTAACATCCATATTAGAGCAATTTCCTGGCAAAGAGAGTATTCTGGGCCAAGGTAGAGATTGTGTTGGATCTGGCCACTTGCATAGCTCCGTAGCCAGAAATGAGATGGAAATGGATACAGTATGGCATTAGTCCAATATCAACATCAAAAGAATTTCATTATTTTGTACACAATTATGACCTTATTTGTAAAACATAATGCTTCTAATATGTTTGTTTTTTTGGATGCAGAAAGGTAGTTGTTGACGGCAAGCTATAAATCAGCATATTTTGAGTATGATAAAATCTTGCAACAAGCTTGAATGTTGTGATGATGACTTAACTTATACTTTGAGTTACATGTACATTTGAGAAGGCTAACCCCACACAGCAAATTAGTGTATCAACTTGGTGAAATGTTGCCTTTGGTACATGTAATAACGGATGCACAGCATTTAGAATGCTATTTGCATGCTGATAGGGTTAGCCCAAGCATTTCCATGCAGATTGCCTCTCTGATCTAATCTATTCCAACCACAAGCCTTGCTGTGTGTGTATTAGTGCTGGAAATGAACATGTACAGGTCCCCAACAAGACAGGAAATGACCAATATGTGTATCATTATTGTGCACATGAAATATCAGGCAAATAAATGGATTGCTCGTCATGTTATGGCTGTCTCAATTATCGGTAATTGCAGCCATGCATTTTTTGGATGCTACTGTAGCCAGGTGGTTTGTTCACACATTCTCAAGTTAGTGAAGTGACAACTTTGAAAGAGCAGCTAAGGATAGAGAGAACATCTGAGGTTGAAAATGTGCAAGCAATTACCAAATGAGACAAGCATAAGAATTCTTTTGATGTGCAACATAACCCTCTAAGTCCATGTGTCAGATGAATTCATACTTGTGTTGTAAAGTGAACAAGGTGTGTCACTTCATAAGTAGGACTGATGAAATTAGTTTTGATACTTAAAATGTGAAACACTACCTAATAATGATGTACTCAGAAATCGCTAGTAAAAGTTCAGCATTGCAATTAACTTCTTCAAATAATACGTATCAAATTTTCATCAGCAATGAGTTGTTGACCCAGTCTCCATAGTGCTCGATCTGGAGATGATTACATTTGTCGATTGTAATGTTATTTATGACCTTCAGCTTATTGCTTGCATTTTGTATGTGTAGTACTTAGCTTGTAATTAATCTGTCCATTATTATTTTGCAACATATAGATGTAAGTTACCAGGAATTACATGTACTTTTGAATTAAACATTATGGGTATGATAAAAGAACAGATTTCCCAAGAATGATATAAGGTTAGGAGCAATGTACAGCTTTAAAATTTTCTTAAGAGAATGAAAAGAACCTTTAGCACTTTTACTACATTGCATGTTGTGCTATTTCAAGAAAAGCGATTATTTCCATCCTGTTCCCCTGCCCAAACCATAGCAGTCTTATCTAAAGCCTGCATCAATACCATTAATCAAGCAGTAACCTTCCAGGATCAGCTTTAAATCAAGCCCACATCAAAACATGGGTCTGCATGCATTGCCCAATTAAGGTACTAATCTGCCTGAGCTCCAGGCTGGTGGGTGACCATTCATCACTGTACACCAGCACAGGGACAGATCAGGGGAAACATGGCAGGAGTACAGAGTCAGGACATGGCTGCGAAATATTATTTCCTATAACCACAAAAGTGCCTTCTATTTAACATCGATCAATTTTCATGTGGAATTTATTGTTAAGTCTCTGTGTGTATTCCTTATCTATGTAATTCATTCTCCCCTGCTATGGCCATATTTTCTGCTTCATATCCCTGATAAACCAAGAGTCAGAGAAGACCTGAGGCTCTTTTTGTTTGGCTTTAATAGAAATGCATGTAATACCCTAAAACTCTTAAATCTAGAGCAGACATAAGTTTGAAATACTACATGTAAACTTCTGCAACTAGATCAGTAGCCCCTGCAATACAAAAGAGAAATCTTAACGTTTACCTGATGTGAGCAACTGACATGTAATGTTATCAAGATTATCTTCAAAGAAGCTGTTGGAGGGTTAATACCACATCATAATGGTGCATTGAAAATGATATCTGTTCTTAATCATCACTGTGTTATATGTATATACAGGTTAATGATCCATAAACAAATGTGCATGTATGTTGTATATATATGTCTTTTGTTTGGATCATTTGTCTGAGAATCAAGTGATTTTATAGATGTTGCCCATACATCTATAACCATCTAATGGACTTGTTGGCATACAACCAAGAGGAAGGGAAATGTGTAATCAGCATGCTGAATGTATAATGGCTACTCAACTTAAATCAGAGGGACTTGTGTTGCTTTATAAGAGCTCTCTGTTGTGTTGTTGAATTCATTACCAAACTCCTCTACCATTATGGCATGCCCTTCCCTTGCATGGCTGCCATACATAATAATACATGTGTGTCACTATGGGTTTTAATAATCGCATCGACTCGGTTCTTTTCTCCTCTGTGTCATGTAGTCCAAAAATGTGTTGTCTACATGCAGATAGCTATAGTGGTTAGTTATAACCCTAATGAAACTTTTTCCAATTACTAGTTTTTCACAGGTAGGGGGCGAGAGCTTTTAATTTCCTGCCTTCTCCAATCATGTGATTGTTTTGTGCTATTCATGTGTAAATTTACAAAGCTGTTAATTGTTATACATATGATGTATACTGTACTTTATTTTTCCCAATATTATATGGTATTAGACATAATAAACACATGTAGGTGGACCTTTGTATTGATATTAGTATTGTTCACTTTTGCCATTAAGGAATTGGCTATACCAAATCAACTTTTCTCTCATGTTTGATATGTGCCCGGGGTGCTATCAAAGTGGGATTAACAAAATGTTGTCAACCCCTTTCTGTCACCACGTGTATTTACCCTATCAGATGTGTGAGCCTAGCTGTCTGGAATGTGTCTCTATCACATTCATCTCAGAGTAGAGTTAAGTAGTCCCAATGAAAGACAAAGGGAAATTTGTATCATCAGCCAATAAAAATGTGGGATCATCAACGAGAACAAATTGTAGACTTGTATTCACAGCTTGTTTGCAGTAGAATTTGACCTCAGTAGTACTACACGTCTTGTAGTTGTCATTTCAGCAGATGTTTGATTTCTTGTCATTTCAAAGGTCAAAGTACCCAGGGCGGAATTTGCTTTCATGGTCAGTGGCCATGTGATATGGTACACATGCCTGCGTATGGAGCATGCCAAATGTTACTGCAACACGCGAATTGAGGGAGGCATGTAAATATTGCATGTTAGATTTTTTATAGGATATGCAGGACAGTTATGTCTGGAATCTTCAATCCACCCCCCCCCATGCCAAAAAAATTGTACAGTATTTTTTGCATTCTTTGTACATCAACAGTTTCAAAAAACAACACAAAAAAAGTAGCCTCCTGCTCAGACTTCTTGAAGCAGTGACGTTTTTTTATCTAATAATAGTAATGTGGCAGATGACGTTATGTTGCAGAGCAAAACTTCCTCTGTGGCATAACTCCCTCGGCAGCATGAGAGAACCTTAATAGCCCATGTAAAACATGTATATCATAGTTGACCTTCAGCCAAGGTCAATTGTAAGTCATATCAACAACTCTGAATATGATGGAAAAGTAAATTTCTTTTATTTCTGCAGGGTTGAATGACGAGGCATTTCATCTACACCAGAACAATCTAATGCAAATTTGTCACATAACCCTGTGACACAAGTAAATTACTTTGGCAAACTTTAACCCATATCAGCTTTGAATTCAGTTGATTCTCCCATGAAAAGTACTGTGAAAGTTAATTTTGTGAGCCCCGATTTATGGACACTCAAATATTCCATTAGCCAAAGCAATTACTTGATATGAATTGAGCCTCTCATGCATGGTACAAGTCTTCTTGTACTGATGTGTTTGCAATGGAGGTCAAGTGACTTTGCATATCCAGTCAAGTAGGATAGAATTTAATAGAAATACACTGTACTCTTGCCAAGGACAGCTTTAACCTGCTTCCTACTGCTTCACATATCAGTAACCAATGAGTACAGTATATTGATTGCTACTTTCTGATTCTGAATGTATGATAAAAGCCCTGGTTTCTTTTAAGAGGCTTTCTATGTACTGTAATTGTTTTAGTTTCTACACATGCATATGTACAGGTATGCATCTGTGAAACTTTGTTGTTGACACTTTTCAATTGTGCAAAACTTTTTACCAACAATCCTAACTGTGAAAATTAACTTAAATCTTTGGTATTCTTGCAAGAAAATAATAGCACGACTCAAAAGATATTGGCACTGTCTTAATGTTTTGTCCTCGTCTTTATATATACATACATATTACCAAGGAGGTTAAATTACAATTTTATTTATATCTAACCTCCTTGATATTACATAATGTTAGGTATACTAGTAATTTGTTGAAACAATTAGAACTGGGGAGTTGCCAACAAAAATAATCCCACAAGCAGGAAATGCGTGCTGTTTGTTTTGGTGGATGTGCAAAACTGAGCAACCTGACAAACTTATTCCTTGGCACGTCCAGCAAAACAAACAAATTGCCATATTTAGCCCTGTCTTATCCTTCTCTGCCATCCTCACAAGTAACAAAAGGGAGATGTGATGGACAAAACAAGTAAAAACATGTGACTGTTCTTTTAGCTTCAATCCATCTTTTAGTCAACCCACTGACTGCCACTAATCAAAAGTATTAATATTCTTTTTTTCTAAAACTACTGCCATTGACCCAAATGCTTTGAATTAAATTGGTCTAGGCTCCGACAGGTTGCATTTGTCTGGAATAAAACGTCACAGCCGATCAGACATCGATAAGCCGTCTTTCCGTTGCTAAGGAGCCCTATGACGCAGGAGACCAGAAGTCATTGAAAGTGCATAAGCACAGGATTTATGTTTAATCCCCAGACTTGCTTGCCTAGTGATTACTTAGTCCTCTAAACTAAATAAAAGCTATTTCTTTATACATGATCGGCTTTGGACTTTCTGTCTGAAATCCTCTTACAATATAGGGAAACTCTTCGAAGCTTTTCGTTTGTGGATGAGACAGCATCTTAGCTTCACTTAGGAAGGATTGTTGCCTGCAACACACCAGCCACTTTTGTAGGTGAATGCCCTGAAACTAGATAGGAGGTCATGCAGGCATGGGTAAAAATAACTTTGAGTTTGAGACATACAAGTACAGCCTTGAACAGCTACTTGGCGTAAACGGATAGAAGAAACATCAGACAATTTCTGCTGGGAAATGAAAGTTGGGAGCCTGTGCTAGTTGAACATGAGTAATTCATGACTTATAACAAATACATGACACCAATGCCCCAGGTAGGCACTTTAATGGTCCTCGCAGCTGTGAGTACAAATGGATCACATGGGATCAGTTAAGGACACGTCTATTCTAGGCTCAAACTCCATGCCAAATGTGGAGCTGTATGTCAGCAATTTGAAGAAACAGCTCCAACATACAAATGTATGTATAGTTTTTAGTACCTACATGTAACTATCACAGTATCATTGGTTACATACTATGTATTAAAAACTACATGTAGTACATACATACATGCAGGTATGTTGGAATCATTTGCCCAAATTGCTGAAATATGGCTCCACATGTGACATGGAGTTTGGGCCCAGAATAGAACTGATCCCACGCAATTCATTTGTAGCCACAGGGACCTCCCAAGGTGCCTACCTGGGACATTGGTGAAATAAATTTGTTATAACAAATGAATTACTCATGTTCAACTAGTACAAGTTTAATTTCCCCACAGAAATTGTCTGTCTACATACAGCCATGTTGCAGTCTTGCCCAGGCAAAAGTACAATTTACTTGTCAATGAAAGTTTTTCTTAGGGGAAGGGGGAGATATTGTAACTGCAGATTGACCTTAAGGTCAAGTTGGTAGTCTAAATGGTCTCCCCACAGGCTGGGAGGAAGTGAGTCCACCCACACAGTTACTGAGGATATACCAAAGTTGGACTTTATCACAACAAACTCTCACACTGCAAAGTTTTTGTCATAAGCCTGTTGAAAGTACATCAGTCCATCTCTTTGGTTGTACCAATAAATTCACAAAACTCTAAATACATGCACATCCCAAAGGTTTGAAATCTCTGATTTCTTGTTCTATTTCATAGATGAAATATACACACTCAGATAGTCATCTGATGATTTTTTTGGAGTGACTAATTAAAAACGTAGTGGTCATGCACCTACCAACTACAGTACACGGGTAATTGTTGTTGGAGGTTCACCCTTTACGTAACTACATGTGCAGTCATCTCAGCTATCCTGTTCTCTTCCTCAGCATAACCACTCAGGTATCCGCACTTGGCCGCCTTGCCAGCTTCTATCAATAGCACTTACTTTGTATACTTTTCACAATTAGACCAAGTTCATTCCATTTACAAACTTAATTCATGGGTACTGCCAGACCCTCCATACAAGTTAGTATGAGAAAGTCACATGTTTGTTTAACCTACAAACCATAAGGTACATGTACATCCCCTGCTGCCCAAACAGAGGATGATCCTAGTTAGATGGTAGCATTTAGGCTCAAGTCCGTGACATTCCCTATATTTTGGACAAAAAGCTGCTGTCTCCAGAGACCTAAGCTTCCCTGCAACAGATGTTCAGTGTAACCTGAAGACATGCACTTAGAGGGAAAATGTCAACACCTTCTACCTTGGATAACTTAAAACTTTAGGTCATGTAGGAATTATAGTAGTTATACATGCATGGCTAAGGCTTTAGAACTAAACTGCAGAGGATGTATTTCTGTGATACACCAAATGTCAGCTGTCACACAGAGATTTAGGCAGTTCACTTGTCAATATACATGTTTGTATATGTTTAGATGCATGTAATGCAGAGTTCAAACATTTAAAGTACTTAATTAATATTTATCAATTTCTCTATGCAGGTATATAAAATTGCTTATTGTGTATTAGCCTCTTGAAGATGTATATTTAATGTTGCCTTCATAAATGTCATCTTCAATCTCAACTTCTTGCATCCTTCTTGTTTCTATTAAGTTTACTTTACGAGAACATCAAAATTTAAAGACAATGTATGAAGACACCTTGAGAACAGTGTTGCTTTCACAGTTTTAACAAACTCAAAATACAAAGACTGGAGTTATACAATCAAAAATTCCTTGTGTTGGGAATTTGCAGTTTAAACTTGCTTCATAGTGACTTTTCTTCTACAAACACAGATTAACTTTCAAGATAAAACTCAAAATAGATCTACCTCTGGCAATTTGCCACTGTCTCATTATAGGTTACTGTCCCTGACCTTCTGTTGATATAATCACTGCAGTTATATTTGGATAGGATTCTGTTGTTTAAACCATTTGTGTTGAAAGGCATGTCCTTCAGAGATGGGTGATTTCAGCAGAGTCAAAATATTTTCAACTGGGATCAACCAATTGACAGTAAATTTTGTTGAAGGAAGCTTGCAGTTTTGCTATATTCAGATAGATGGCTCCTCTGTACTGTTGTCAATAGAAACTGTCACTTACATTAGGGGTATTGGACGCCATATAATACCTGTTACGGGGCCGGTAAACACCGAAAATGGGGCGATTTTAGAGCGTTCAAACGAGTATATAACAAAGTAAAAATGCTTGAAATTTGGTATCAGTAGTTGAAGGAACTCTTTATCTCTTATTTTGTCCAAGTTTTATTAAGATACCTTCAATGGTAAGCGCGAAATCGCCGATCGGGTCGCGCGAGTTTTCCCGGCGGCGCCATGTGCGCGCCCTCCCCGTGCCGAAAATTTCAAGAAGGCGCTGATCGCCGGAGCCCGCCCGCGCGTACCGTGTGCAAAATCCAGAAAAAACTAGCCACTAATTTGTAGCCAAGAATA